GAGGGCGTTAAATTCTTTGACTGCTGGCATTAGATCGTCATTGCTGGCTCCGACTGGTTGAATTATCAGATCAGAATGGGTGGCGATTTCTTTGGTGGTCTGGCTGGTGCGAGCAGGGCCGTCGATGATGATTAGATCGTATTTGTTAGTTAAAGGTCAAATTTCCTTAATTGAATTAAAAACTTGACAGTTGATTTTTTTATTTAATTTGCTTCATTCATAACTGGTGGATTGTTGAGGGTCGCAGTCCGCTAGTAAGGTTTTTATTTTTTGTTTGGTTGTTTCAGCGGCTACGGCACGAGCGAGGGTGGATTTACCGACCCCTCCTTTTTGGGAGATGAATGCGATTATGGTCATATTTTTTAGTCGATAGGATGGATATTTCTAACTCATAAATGATCAGTAGTTCCATCCTTAAATCAGAAAAAGAGTCGGTATTTCTTCCTGTGATAAGTAGTCTCAAAACGATAAACCTCTCGACCCCAACGAAGATAACTGTCCGGCAAAGGCTTTAATCGCTGACGACCATTTACTTTATTCTGAAAAATATCCAAGACTAGTTCCTTAGTAATTCACTCACGACCAGGCTTTTCCCAGGGATGATCGGTAATAGTGATTTCCTTAATAGTCCATTTTTTAAAAGTAAAAAGGGATAAGCAAGAATAGGTTCACCTTAATTCTTTATCTACCTCCTCTTCTCTAAGAAATTTAAACAACTCGGGCATGCGGTGATTTAGGCTTATTTTGCCTTAGGATAACTTGAATTTGGGTTGGCGAGAATAATTTATTAGTATAAACTATTAGACTATCCAAAGTAAAATTTTCAATTCAACCAAAAAGAATTTGCAGAGTTTGTTCTTTACTTAGTCCTAATTTTTTGGCCAACAATTCTTCACTCAGATTATTGTCTTCCTGATAACCTAATATTTTTTGACAAAGTTCATATTTGGCTTTTTGTAAAGAAGTAGGATTTTCGGGCAAATCTTTGGCTACTCAGGGATAATTAGGTTGTTCGATTTCCTTTAAGTATTCTTTGAAGGCTTTTTTTTGATTAGTCATATATAATATTTATTAGTTTTTAATATTATGATAAACATAATATTACTTTTTATTTTTCTGTTTCCTCATCCGGGCAAAAAGAATTGTCAAGGCTATACTTCCAACTCCAAACATTAACAGTGGTAGTAATCATCCTTGATTATCCTTATTTCGACTGTTAGTTGGGCTGGTTGGACCCGAAAAATTGCTGTGACTATTTCTTCTCTCTTGTTGTTCTCGATTTAATTTTAATAAATTTTCGACTAAACCTTGATAAGATTGATTATAACCAGGCATGTTTTTTAAACTAATAACCTCTCGCTCGTCAACTTGTTCCTGATTATTAATTTTACTTTCTAGATTATTATAATTTTCTCATCACTGATGATCCTTTCTTTGCCAATCCTCATAATTATCATTATTATTTTCTTGGTTATTTTCCGATTCAGATGGCTCGGGGTCAGTAAAATTTCCCTGCTCTATTTGTCGTATAATTTCCTGATGTTGCTGCTTCTTTTCTCTAATTTGTCGGTCTAATTCCTCAGTTTCTTGGCAACTATTACATTTATCCGCACTCATTAATTTAGTCCGATAAACAAACCGACCGCCATTATTACGCACTTCTCTTTCTCAATTGCCTTTATTTGTTTGATTTAGACAATGGCGGCAAATGTTTTCTCCTTTTTTACTTAATTCTTTTTCTAATTCTTGGAAATTTTTATAACCTTGCTGTTGATTATTTTTTTGTTCTTGGTTCTGTAAATTTTCGGCTACTCGTTGCTTATATTGCGTAAAAGCCTTTTCACAACAAGGGGCACAGACATAATTAATATTATTATCCCACTGTTCGGCCAATTTAAAAACGCGACCCCCTGCCGTAAATTGTAAATCATATTCACTTTTGGGTTTAACTGTCAAAAATCTTTTCTTACATTCTACACAATCATTATGAAAATAATCATGGCTTATGCAAGAACTTCGACAGATATTACATAAAGATTTTGCCATAATCGCGACTTTTAATAATAATAATAATAATAATAATAATAATTAATAAATTACTATATATACACTGAATAATAAGTCTTAACTAAAAAAAGCCCACTAATCCAGAAGGTCAATAACCTCCTGAACTAGTATATTATTATTTTAGTAAGTTAGGGGATAATTTTAGTTAAATTGTTTTATATAATTAACTAATTAGTTAACCAACTATCTACAATGAAAACTAAGAAAATAGTAAGTAAAAAAACCGCCAGTGAGGGTAAACACAAAGTAATTAAAAACCAGCACCCAGGGAATATTTACCGCTCTCGGGTAAGAAAGAAGACTCTCACTTTCACCCAACTAGAACAATTAATCCACCAACTCAAAAAAACCGGTCAAAAGCAAAAAGCCCAAAACTACCGCCTCCTCTACCGGCAAAAATTAAATGCTTGAGCCGCCGCCTGACAAGCCGGTCGGCAAAAGTTATTAGCCAACCAACAAACTCGGCGGCAAAAAAAAGAAGCTACTCTTAGAGTCCAACAAGCCAAACAAGCCAGTCGTCAGCAAAAACAACAACGCCTAAAACAAATCTATTCTTACTTCCGTCAACAATTAAACAAACAAGACCCCAAACAATCCCTCTATTACTCACCCTACTTAGACTTACCCCCCCACTTATCCTCTTATGTCCGCAAATTACAAAGACAACACCCTGACTACAACCCCTGAAAAGAATTTGGCTCTAAATACACCACCTATCGTTTAAATAAACAAGGAAGTAATTATTTACTTAGAGAAACTAATCGGGCTTATCAGGAAGAACTTACTAGCCAAAATAATCAAATCCGCTACTGACAAGAAAAAGCCGGACTAACCAAAGCCCATCCTAAACAACTGCTTAAAAGAGGGCAAAAGATTAAATTATTTTTTCCGGAAAAAGGAGAGCATAAAGATTTTTGAAAAAAAAAAAAAGAGTTTAAAAAATATTGAGAAGAGATTTTGGCTTGGGAACCTAGGGATTCTGGTAGAGCCAGAGTTAGTGAATTATCTAAGGAACTTTATTTGAAGAGTCCTTGACGATTGAGAGATAGATTCTTAATCCCCTCAGGCCCTCTTATCCACCATGGGGATGCTAGCCAACTAAGAAAGCAATATGTGGATAATAATCCTTTTGTTGCTACTAGAAAATATTATTATCGAGCTATTAGTGCTTGGCAGAACTCGTTAGAGCGGGAGGGGGAAGTGGTGCCGGAGGAAGAAATTGCGTTAGATAGGTATGGCAATCCCCGTTTAAAATCGGGGCAATGAATAGCCATAGATAGTGATAAGCCTGGGAGGAGTTGAACAGTTTATAAGAATGTTCCCACTTGGGAGGAGCAGGTGAAGAAGAGGGTGCATGAGGTGGCACAAAAACAATATATCGAAGCCCATGGAACTGAATTAGAAAAACAAATTTGACGGCAAAAAAAAAGCCCTGCTTTATGTTGAATTGAAATGGTTTATGGGTATTCTTGCCAAGAGGCCCAAGGCAGTAGTAATGAATTCTGTCTAGATTGTGTTCTTTACGGCGAATATCATCCTCCCTCCTTGCCTCAGCATTGCCCTTGGCTCTATACTTATAAAAAAAAACAGTGCGGAACCCGCAATCATGGAGATGCCAATTTACAGTACCACTTTTCCTGACAAGGACGCCGCACTTTGACGGCCGGACAAGATTGGGGGACTTGTCATATTGGCCGTTTTAGCAAACCCCGTAAGTCCAAACCTTCCAAACCCCGCAAGAAATAACAAGCAATGACAAAAAAAATAATTTACTGACTAAATTGAGAAAAAAAAATGATTGAACCCAACAGTTTGGGTCTAAGTCCTATTCCCTGAACGGAAATTGGTAATTATCCTTTACAGGTTTACTGCTCTACTAATGACTGATTAAAAGTTAGTTTAGAAACTAATTTGGCAACAACCGATATTGATGAAGAAAATCGTATAATTAAAATCGGGCAAGCAGAAATCAAGGAGAAGAGGGGGGCTAGCCAAGAAAATCCCAATAGTGGAGGAAGCCAAGCCTTAAAATTGCTACATAAATTAGTCCCGGAATTTACTAAAACTCACCCCAGCACCAGCACGGATTTTTTTTTAGCCGTTAATAATTGAAAATTCCCCCCCCGCTTTGAAAATCTCCAAACTGGGACTTTTACCCAAGTAACTAAAATTGATATTAAATCTTGTTATGCTAATATTATGAGGGATTATCCTTTGCCGTGCGGTTCCGAGGAACATTTAACTGATCCGCAACTAATTGAGCAAAAAATAAAGGAGGGCCAAGAAGGTTTTGTTCGCTTTTATTTAAGACAAACGGCCACGATTAAAAATAATCAAATTCCTTTTTTACCTGACTATCATAATGAAATCAAGGCTAACCTACGCGGCTGTTTTATTTTATATAGCAAATTATTTCGTGCCTTTCAAAAACATTATAAAATTCGAGGCAAAATTGTTTATACTGATTTTTGGATGTTTGCCAAGAAAAAAGGCTGTGTTAATCCTTATTTAGATTATTGCCAAGAGTTAAAATTACAAGACAAAAAAAAAGGCAAAAAATTAGCCAATGTTTTGTATGGGGTTTTAGGTCGCAATCAAAGAATTGGATATGTTTTTCACCCCTTCCATTTAGCAGTAAATCATCTAGCTATTTTAAAAACTTATTATTTATATCGGCAATTTAAACCAGAGGATGTCTTGGCCATTAGGAGTGATTGTATTTATGTGAAAGGGGAATTACCGGATAAATTGTTAATTGAAAGAAAAAAATACCATATTAGCCAATTTCAAAAAATAACCTTAGCAAATCAAGACACACTTTTCATCCATGATACCCAGGAGTTAAAAACTTTTTCTAATTCTGCTAGCCATCGACAGGGTTTGCAAAAAAAAATCCTAGAGTCTTAAAAATTTTTCTTTTCCAAAAACTCCCTCACTTCTCGATAGGTTAAATCTACTCCTAAATAATCCCTTTTTAATTCCTGACAAACCTCCAACACCACAAAACTCCCCGCATAAGGATCCACCACCAACTCCCCCTCCTGAGTAGTAGCCCCAATCAAAGCTCTAATCAACTCCCTAGGTTTCTGATGAGGATGCTTTTTTTGGCTAACGGCTAATTGATTCTCCTCTCATACAGTTCCAAAAGCCCGGTTAGTAAACTTTTTTCCGGTTGTGGGAAATTTCTGCAAAAGAAAACAAAATTCAGCATTACTCCTGAGTCAGGTCCCCAGTCCCAAAGTATTCTTCTTATACCAAACAAGGCAATCTACTATTTTCAAACCAGGTGCTTTTATTAATCAAGCCGCAATCCTATCGCTCCCTAGCAAACCCTTATTTATCCATAATAGACAAAAAGAACTAGGTTTAAGAATTCTCCCTACTTGTTCAATTATTCTCATTATTTGATAATCACTTTGGGGATAGAGAGGATAATCCCGTTTTAACACGGTGCTAACTTTTTCATACTGGGGATCCAAGAAAACTAAATCAGCACTATTTGACTCTAAATTAGATAGTAACTCTAACGCTTCCCCTGTTTGTTTAGTATTCAATAAATACTGTTTTTTTTTTTTTTTGCTTGAATCAGTTGGTTATTTGTTGGAACATATTCATTTATTAATAAATTATATATATTGAGTTGATTATCTGTTTAGTTAACTAATTGATTATCTAATTAGATAGTTAAAATATATAATATATGAGAAACGAAAATATGGAAACAGTTCGAATAAGTAAACAAAAATTTTGAACAGCCCCAATTCATCAATGTCAAAAATGTGGCGGTTATTATTCCGAGCAACCAAAAAGAATTGAATTATCTGTTCGCTGTGTTTGTTTACAACCTGATTCAAGTAATAAGAAATAAAAACTATGCTATTATTTATTGTCCCATTAATATTTACGGCCGTAGCCGGTTATTATATTTATAAGAAATTCATTGCGGAAAGATTAGATTGTCCCCAAAATAATCCCCAGGCAAAAGGTTTAGAAAGAGAAGAAATCAAGGAAGCGATTAAAGATAATGAGAAAAAACAAAAGGAGTTAAAAGACGAGATTAAAGAAATAGAAAAAGAAAGAAAAGAAATTTTAACTAGTAGTGATGAAGATAAGGCTGATAAAGCTAAGGAAAAGTTAGAACAAAAAGAAGAGAAGATGAAAGAATTACAAGAAATAGAGACCACTCTGAATGATTTAAAAATAGTTGATAAGGGGGGCTGAAAAGCACAGTTACCTAATAAAATTAGTTGGAATAATGGTTTGTGGTTGGGAGGATTATTAATCGGTCTAGTCTTTATCTATAAAATTTGCGTCGCCGTGTTTAAAAGCATTTTTCGGGCGATTGGTTTAGAAGAACAATAAAAAATCATGTGAGGAGCTTTATTAGGAGCGGGTGCCGCTTTTTTAGGAGGTTTTTTTACGGGGGGAATGACTTGGTCGCTAATTCCAGTTGCTCTAGCCGGAGGAGCCGCCGGTTTGGGATGCCAAGCCGCAGTGGAAAAATTTGGTGCCACTCTTTTTAATTCCGCTCAAAAGGCCGGCATAAGCCCACAGGAATTATTAGAATTGCAAAAAATGCGGGAGCAAGACCGAAAAAAATGATTGAATGATAATAACGAGGACTTGAAAGCTCTCAATGAAAAAATTGCTAAATTAGAAGAACAACGCAATCAAATATTAAAAAAATTAGAAACGGAAACTGACCCTACCGAAAAGGCCAAATTAATCGCTGTGGCTGACGAGTTAAAGAAAGAAATTGCGGAGTTAAGAAAAGAAAAACAGGGTAAAGAAAAGGACATTAAAGAAGTTATTGATAATTTACCGAAAGGAAATTTAACAATGGATCAGTTCCAGCAAGAAGGCAATAAACCTTATTTAGGAAGTTTTAAAAATTGGGGAATAATTGCTTTATTTGTGCTGATAGGCATTATCCTCGTAGTCTTTATTAAGAAATTATTTAAAAAATTTTTAGGCAGTATTTTTGAATAACTTATGGTATATAAATTAACAGTGGAAGATTTTCGCAACATCGTCAATGTCTCCGAAGCTCGTCGCAGTTGTAAAGGGCATGAGGTTCGGCATGGCTCGGCGGAAGAGGGTCATAGCAGTTGTGGAAGTTGTGCCGGTAATTATTACTCGGGTGGAGAGTGTAATTACGGCGGGAGGCATCGCTTAACGGATGATTTGAATCAAATTAATCAAAATTTTCAGGGCTTTGAAGTATTGGTTTCGCGGCACGCTCGCTTAAAGAAAGTTAAAGACGAAGGAGAATTTGACCGCGAAAAAAAGGAGTTAATTACCGCTTTTGAAAATATGAAAAGCCGCTGTGAAAACGCTCAAGGCTTTTTTTATGGTTCTTGTATTGGTTTAGATGGCACTCAAGCCAAATTTAATTCGGCTGTTAATGCTCGTTTTCAACAATTCGCTCGCGAATTAGGCGGTTTTATCGATAAAGTAAAAAAAATTGGTTTTCAACAGTTTGCGGAATTTAAGATGAAATTGGAGAAGTTAGAAAATATGAAAGCCGAAGCAGCCAAATTAGGCGAGCAAATAAAAAATGAAAAAGATCCAGCCAAGAAAAAGCAATTAATGGCAGCCTTGGCTACTTTGAAAGATAATATGGGTAGTTTACAAAAAGAATTACAAAAACACCCCTGTAAAGATTTATTTGATAAAGATGTTGGCGATTTCTTAAATAATATTTTGCAGGGTATTATTACTGGTAATACTCCTGGTGGAGGAAGAAAGCAACCTTTTACTGGTCGTTTTCCTACCGGTGGCAATAAAAGTGTTCCTGATGATAATTCCCAACCTGATGAGCAAACTAAGAAAGGCTTGTTTTCCCTCTCTCCAACCACCAAGGAAAGTTTAAAAAAAGTAGCCTTAGTTGGCATTGTCTTATTCTTCTTATTTATTGGTTACTATTTTATTAAAAGAAAATTAGAGGAGTAAAGTAAGCAACGAAAGTATTAAAATAATTATATAATTAACTAACTAAATAATTAACCAAATGACATGAACCCTCTACAAAAACTACTTACAAACCAAAATCCTCCAAGAAGAGGAAGAAACTTACACTCTCCACCCCTCTGCTAAAAATAAATACTCCCCACAAAAAGAACAAGAACTCCTCACCACCCTCACCCAACTAATAGAAAGCATAGACAACTCCCCTTATCACTCCTCCTCCAACACTTACTCCTCCCCAAGTGAACAAGATGAAGAATATCACTCTCTCCCAGACCTAGACCTCTACCAAGAAGGAAAATTAATCACCTGAACCCAACTCTTCCCTAACCGCTCAGAAACTCACTTCGGTAAAAAAGAAATAGAAGCAGAAATCTCCCCTCCTACTTGAACCATTCTAAGCAAGATATTCAACGACTGAACCACACAAATCACCCGCTCTAAACGCCTCCAAGACCAACTAAGTGAAGACCAACTAATGGGTAAATTCCTCTTAGAAGCCGCCATCAGTCTCAACTACCAACTAATCAAACGCAAGCATTACGATCAGAAATTAAAAGACTGACTCCAAGAATATAACTTATTAGAACCCTAAGAACAAGAACAACTCCAAAAACAAAAACAAATGGTTACTAAACTTTTAGAGGCCTTAGAGGAAGAAGAAAAGAATAGAGCCCAAACCAGCTGACTCCCTAACTGACCTTGGAAAAAAATTGCTTGACACGGAACAGGAACCCTACTAATCCTCCTAGTCCTAGGCTACTTATGAAAAAAATTCAATGATTAAATTATTCTGCCCTCACTCCTCTCCCCCTTGTGAATATTGCCATTACTCCTATCTCCATGAAAATATTTACTAACTAATCGCTCTTGTCCTTACTGTAATCAATCATTAGTTCATTATTATGGTGACGAGGTATTATATTGTGATAAAGAAAAAAGAGTGTTTAAGCAGTAATTCATGCCTTATAATTTAGGAGACTTCGCCACCTGATTAAACCAAACTAACCAAAATTTTCCTCCTCATCATTTAGATTATTATCAAAAAGTAGCTCCCTATACCTGAAAGCAGGACTGTGAAAGAAGGGATTTTAAACAGAGTGTAGGTCAGCAATCCCAAACTATAATTTTAAAATGAATAGAGGAAGTAGACCAGAGAGAACAAAATAATATGCTAAACCAACTCCAATCTTTATTAGAAAAATTGAAAACTAATAATAAGTGGATAATTATTAGTCAAAATCAACCCCTCTTAAGAGACTCCTTAGAAAAATTTATGTTAGATGAATCCTCTCTAACTTCCCCTCTCAATAATGCTGAACATTTTTGACCCACCACTTGTCACCTCCAAAATTTAGAAAGGGAAATAAGAGATCTAACTGAAAGAGGTGAAGCAGTTAGTCATCTACAAGAACGATTAGAGGATTTGAAAAAACAGGCTGAAGAAGAAAAAATTGCTTGAGAAAGACAAATTATTCATCATCAGCAGAATGTAGATAAGTGTAAAAGGGTTTTGGAATGGTTACCTTCAACTAGTGAACCTGTATCGGAAGAACTTATCACCGCAGATAAAGAATTCTTTACTCAATTATTAGAAATATTAGAAGCAGCAGTAAAAAAGTTGGAGGAGATGGAAAAGGTGGAGGCAGAGTTTGAGGAGGTTAAAAGGAATAAAGAGGAATTGAGTGTTAAACTATCAGAATCAGAAACTACTCTAACGGAAACTAGACAAGAGTTAGATAAGTGAAAAAAAGAGTTAGGTAGTAAAGAGCAAGAATTGGATGGTTTAAGAGAGAAATTATCCGGGGAACAAACTAAATCAGGGGAATTAGAAGGGCAATTAACTGGTTTAGTTGCTAGTAGTGGGTTACTTAGTCAACAAGTTGAACAACTAAATAACCAACTAACGGAAGCGGAACAACA